TGTGGTCTATTTCATTGTGGAACCATCCATCGGGAGACTCCCATGTCCAATGTTTAGATTCAGCATTTTGGAACTGTGAGTTACCATGGAAGGTTTTGGTTGACATGATGAACTCAGACAGTCTGTCACCCTGTTCGTTCCATTCCAGGCCATGTGTCCTGATGTGGAGTTCATCGACTGATCTTCTTGGTCCTGTCTTGGCATTAAAATCACCGACAATGATCTTGTAGAAGGTGTGATCTTCTTTATAGAACTTCTCCAGCTCCATGTAGAACTTCTCAGTTTCTCTTTCACCATAACTGGATGTTGGTGCATAGACAACAAAGACAGAAACTGCCGGTAGTGAGCCACGTCTATTCAAGTGTAATCGTCCGATTCGAGTTGTTAGGCATTAGAATGAATCAATGCTCCTGGCTAAGTTTGTGTTGACAAGGATACCAACACCACCAACGCCTCTTTTATCACATGTTGCAAGGAACAGTTCTTCTCCAGTGTCGAAAACGGCATGATGTGATTGATGTCTTCTCATTTTGGTCAGACCAATGATGTCATACTTGATCTTTCGCGCTTGTACCATAAGGTCTTCAATGGATGCAGTAGATGCCAGCATACGAGCATTAAAAGTACTGACAACCATTTTTGTTTTTCTGCATTTTGGCAGCCTATTTCTGCCTTGGTATTTTATCAGCCTCTCCTTCCATATCCTTCTCGACTATGTGTATTCAGGGTTAGGGGAATGAGATCCATTTATTACTGGATTTGGCATATCAATTTGGTCTATTTGGCATAGACCACGGATAGCTTGCCAGGCTCTGCTGTGCGGGTAGGATATTTAAGGTACCCTGAAAACTTAGAGAAAAGTAAATAAATAGTCGCGCAGCCGCAAATGCGGCCGTGCGCTCCCGGGAGCTTGTTGTGATAATCTCTGGATCCTGGCCGTTGTTGGGGTTACACGGCAGTTGGAGGGCGTAACTGTCTAGCTACTGACAGGTCCAGTCCCAAACCGTGCAGGCTTGGAGATCTCAGCCCCGGGTCCCACACACCTGGTTTCCTCTGCCAGTTCTGTTATGCCTGAGGCTTATCCAAGTGTGTGGAGAGTGGCCCCAGTAAGGCCTTGGCTGGGGCCTGGAGGTCTTCAGCTGTTGGGCCCTGGCGAGGATAGGCAGGCACAGGGTAGGAGACTCTGCCTTGTACTCTCCCGGGATGGTCAGACTTCTTCGTCAAGACCCTGAATGATCGGTTTGAGGCTTTGCATGTTCCTAGAACGAACAGATACCATTGGGCTACGCTAGCACGCAACCGGGATGAATGGAGACGTTACTGGCACCCGCTCGAGTAAATCGATGAATAACGGGGATTAAGTGATTAAGTGATATATGCATACTCTAGTCCTAGAAAGAACCTTTGTAAAAATGAAATCACAGTATCTATTCATTAGTTTCTATTTCTTTTTATCCCCTAATGTAAAGTAATTGTCCATAAAATGTAGTGATAAAACATCCGATTTCACTTAGTTATTTTGAAGATTAAATAAATGTACATATAAAATTACTTGGCATAGTCATATCCTAGTAGAAAATGTCCATTCAATTATAAATATTCTTCTTCATTGTTTATTTGGAGATTTTGTTTGATATTTTGTTTGTTTTTATTATATTTTCCAATGATTAGTCTTTGGATATAGTCGTATTTTGATACTATTATTTTCTTGGTGTCATTATTTTCATTGTTGCTATAGTGCTATAATTTTTAAGGTTACTTGCTGTAATAGTAGCTATAGAATTTAAGATTATAATATATAAACATATACCCATTGAATAAGCACACATATATTTTAGTTTTCTTTGTTCTTTAGTTTTTAGCTAATTTTGTTAAATGTTATCAGGAGAAAAACTATTATTAAAATATAGAAAACCAACGGGCTAAGCACTGGGAAATTTTACCCAAGGGGGGAAAAATGTACACATCATATTTTACAAAAGATAGTTTCTTTTCTAAATTATTTTATTTTTTTAATTTTTTATTTTATTATTTATTTATTTTTGCTTTTGGGGTCACACCCGGCAATGCACAGGGGTGACTCCTGGCTCTGCACTCAGGAATTACTCCTGGCGGTGCTCAGGAGACCATATGGGATGCTGGGAATCAAACCCAGGCCTGCCACATGCAAAGCAAATGCCCTCCCTGCTATAGTCTTACTCCAACCACGTCTAAATTATTGTTATTATTTTTTATTTATTTAGTTTTTGCTTTTTGGGTCACACCCAATGATGCACAGGGGTTACTCCTGGTTCATGCACTCAGGAATTAATGCTGGCTGTACTCGGGGGGAACATATGGGATGCTAGGAATCAAACCCCAGTCAAGCCACGCGCAAAGCAAATGCCCTACCCACTGTGCTATCACTCCAGCCCCAATTTTTAAAGAAAACTTAACTTTTAAACTTTTCTAGGTTTTCTAACATCAAGTTATAATATTGACACGATCGGACACTAACATTGGGAATAGAATGTCTCCATGGGTCTATTTACAATCTGAACCATAAGCAAACAGCTTTTATGACAAAGATTTAAATTTAATATACCAGGGCCAGAGAGATATAATGGTGGGAAAGGTGCTTGCCTTACCACGCAAATAACCCAGTTTGATCCCTGGCACCTTAATCTGGTTCCCTGAGCATTGCCGTAAATGGTCACAGAACACAAAGATGAGTAAACCCTGAGCACTGCTGTGTGTGGCCCGCAAACAACAAAAAAATAAGTTTATGGTATCTCTTTCCTTTTATCTACAGTAACCGTGTCTAGGATTTCATCTTGTTTAGTTTAGATTTCAATTTGAAATTCTGGGACAAGTAAAGGCTGGATTCACTTTCCTTTTCAGAGAAGCTAGAACAATGGGAAGCAGAGTTATTTATGGCCATGTAGGTATTTGGTCTCAGGGCACACCTAGCATGCATCTGACTCCAGGTGGAGCCAGACATCACATGGTCATTTTAGCATCATCCATTCTGACCCAGGTAGTACTCTGCACACCCCTGGGCTCCCCCTAGGTATTCTGATACCACAGAAACCAGGCAACTACATCCTTCACCACTGGCCCTGGCCTTGGCATGTGATTTGAATAATGAAAGAAGTGATTTTCTGATCATCCTCTTAAGTAATTTCTTCTTTATCTTCTAATGATGTTTTTGGATTGACTGTTTGTAGAACCCTTACTCGGTAGATTTTATCAGAGTGACACTGCATTGACACATCAATATCCCAATGTAATCATCTTTAAGTTTAATTGTCTTTTATTTTTAAAAAAAGGAACCTTGGTTTATGAAAATAATTCCAATAGCTATAGTAACAAAATGCCTCTGAGCCCTTTGATAAAAGCTTTTATTTCTAATAGCATAAATAAATACTTATTAACTCTGATCAGTGACACCTAATTTTTGACCTTTTAAATCAAATAGATTTTGCCGTGAAAGGTATTAGGTAACACAGATAGTTCATTGGCAGTTGATATCTGATTGAAATTCAAGCTCTCACACTTACTCAACAAAGACAGTTGTTCCCCAAGGACTACTCTTACAGTTTGTGAAACTGTGAAAATAGCTTCTTCAAATTTGTTGTCAGCCCTTGTAGAGTAGTGTTTGCAAAAGTTCACACATAGATCTCTTTAGTGAGATGCAGTTCTTGAAATATAGTACTACTCCGTATTTCTTTAATCTTCAGGGGTCAAGATTTCTTTATTTTTTTTAAGGTTTGTCTAACTATAATTCCTCAAGACTATGATCCAGGGCCAAAACAATAGTAAAGGGGGTAGGGTGCTTATCTTGCCCATTGCTGGTCTGGCTTCCATTCCTGGCGCTACAGATATTCCTTGCCACTAGTGATCATTGAAGGCAAAGTCAGAAGTAAGCCCTGAGCCCTGCTTCTGGATGTAATAAAAAGTAGACATACTAACCATCAATAGCATAGTGGGTAGAGTGTTTGCCTTGCATGCGGTCAACCTGGGTTCAATTCCTCCTCCCCTCTTGGAGAACCTGGCAAGCTACTGAAAGTATTCCACCCACACGGCAAAGCCTGGCAAACTACGCATGAGGTATTCGATATGCCGAAAACAGTAACAACAAGTCTCACAATGGAAAGGTTACTGGTGGCCACTTGAGAAAATCAATGAACAATGGGAGGACCAGTGGCAGTGACAGTGACTAACTATCTAAAGTCCCCTCTTGAAGTTATTTAATACTAGAATATAAAGCAACACAAATAAATTCCCATGCTGAAGAGATTACAGGAATTAAGTCAGTAGAATTGTATGCAGCTATGGTGGACATAACCCTGGTTTGAATCCCCAGCACTCTCCAAAGCAGACACAGAAACAGCTGACCTCGATACCTTAAGTGTCTGTGGGTTTTGCAACCTAGGTAGGATGCTGAGGATCTAGTTGAATTCAAGTTGCAGGAGTTCAGATGATATATTTTCAATCTGTGATTTCAGTCATCTTGAAGACAGCATCTTATACTCAGCTGAATTCAAGGCTTCACCTTCCACTTCCAATATGCAGTGTGTTATTTGATACATCACTTAGCATCAGATATTGGACAAAATGAACATGGGATGAGACTCAAGTGTAAACAATTTGTATAGCTTCAAACAGCAGATGTTCTAAGATGTTCAGAATGCACATTTTTCTTCTATCCATACATATATATGTATTTTTTACTCAAATTACATATGCTTGAATAAATCAAACTTTTCTATTTGGAGAAATGAAAAAAGGAATTACATAAATAATATGCATATAGCTTTATTATTAGTCTCTTAAACTTCTTAACACATTTAAATGGTTTATTGCATGCTTACTAAATGATTAATATAATTTACTATAGTTTTCTAGTTCTTAAATTTTCAATAAACAACAGGAAAATATCACAACCTAATAGATTATAAGAACATAAAAATCGTGATTTTCTTAATGACAGCATAAGTTTAAAATTATAAAAGTTCCCAATCCTTTTCTTGTTCAAAAGCATGATGACTGGATGTTCACCAGTTTGTGTGCCATGTGCCTCCCTTAAATCTTGTCACACACTTGGAACATTGCCCATATTATGTGAAAAAAAAATTAGAGAAAAATATTGTAAATATTCTTTTTAATGCAGTAGCGTCTAGAGTAGTTATATATGGAATCATACTAATTATGTCATAAAGTCAATTTTATCAAAATATGATATACAAGATCAAAGCAGAGTAAGGTAGATAAACAAATTCCTGCTTTCATCATGATTATTCTTGATTTGTTTAGACCTGCATACCTAGTGTATTAGAGAAGAGACTAGTTGCAAGTATAAGGTCATGTAATATTTACTGAGAAATAAAATTAATCTTACTATATACATATTAAATAACTACTATACAGATTTATAAAAATATATGCATATATAAGTATGGTGTACATATGTCTATAATATATACAAAACTAAATATATGTGTGCTCAGTATTGTGAGTCATAGAGACATCTTTGAACATTTGTCTGGCTTTCATTGGATGCCTAGTAAGTCTCAGGCCAAAAAACAGTATAATGCATGCTATTTTAGTTTCCAACCACAACTGAATGACTTAAAGCAACATGATTTATTGTCATTGATTTAAAGACTAACCAAACTTAAGACAAAGTGTTTGTAGATTGTCCACCCTTGCTGTGAAACCCATAGCAAATCCTTTCTTGAAGGAGCCACATAGTTTCTTGAAAAAGCCCGCCAAATCTCAGTGGTTTGCCAGCAATCTTTGTCCTTCATATCTCTACACACTCTGACTCCAGTCTGCTGTTCTGGTCACCTGGTGCTCACCCTGTGCCTCTATTTCTTCATCTAATTCTCTTATAAGGACACAGTCAGAGGAGGGACCACCCTACTCTAGTTTGTTCTCATCTCAACTAATTTTATATCTATAGCTACTCATTTTTCTAAATGATGTCACTTCTGAGGTTCTGGGAGTTCAATATTTCCATGTAACATTTTTATGAAAGACACTATCTCTTAAGTGTGTGTCAGATCATTGTGTTCTATTTAATCCCATTATTTTGTTTGATCATCACTATTTTACAGATAGAAGTTCTAAGTCTATGTTAATGAACAACCAACCAATAATTAGAGGAGTTGACACTTGAACTTCATCTTTCTAATCACAGAGCCAGTGAAGAAATTCTCACGAAAAATTATTAGCTAAAATGCAAGGCATAGCTAAATCCGTGCTACTAAGTACAGTGGAAGTCAAAAGGGCAATTAATTACTTCTCACTGGAGAAGTCATGAAAGGCTTAATATAGGTTATTTCTGTTAAATTCCACCTTAGTGGGTGGATTCGATTTTGTTATATAGAGAAAAAATTTGTAAAGGTTGCAAAGACTTTGAAAGGGTGCTGAAAGATCACAGTATTTAAACCAATTGTCCCTTTCAGTTGCTAGTAAGAAGTCTCAGAAAATCCCACTCAATCTCATTTAAACAAAAAGGGAATTTATTGGTTCGGGTAATTCGAAGGTCCAGAAATAGTGCAGGATTCACAGTTAGCTTAATTTGGTGACTCTGGGTCTATGGATTCCTTTCAGTTATTCTCTCCTTTTTAGGATTTCCTTTCAGGTTATTTGTCTCAAAGTGACATAATTGCGAAAACCATTTTTCTGTACACCAAGGCTTCAAAGAGAAGGCATTCTCTACTGTTACTACAATAACTAATCATGAGATTCTCACTGGTTTCAGATACGTTTATCCTGATTTACTGTCTTTCAGATGGAATAGCATAAATGAAAAGAATTTAGAGTGTGCAACAAGATTAAAATTATATAGGTGTTAATTGTTAATATGAGAAGCCAATCTGTACTGTAGTGACCCAGTGACTTATCAGGCCTCTCTGTTATTAAACGTAACTCTGAGTATAGACAGTTTGTTGTTCTAATAGGTAGTTCCCTATCTTCTGGTTTTCTTAATACTCATATTCACAGTAACACATATTGTTATATAGTAGGTGTTTAACTATTTGGTAAATGAAAATTCTAGATGACGGTAAAAATGATTAAAAATATAAAATAACACTAAAGTACTTGTATAAAAATTAAGAAACAAAATAAATCAATTATGATAATTGTCATCTAATTATTAATTCTAAGAATGAGAAAAACATACCACTATAGTGGGTTCAATAACTCATTAGATTCATGAAATTTGGGGCACTTCTATTGATGTTAGGAATTTAGATTTTATTCTTTTTATTTATTTTTATGATGTTTATTTTTACTGATCAACATTTACATAATAAAACTTTAGAGTTTTCTATTAAAACAATGCAGTGCATGTGAAGTATTATTATGAATGACAATTTCTGGTGATAAACATTTTCGTGCTTGTAAAATAAATATTAAAATTAGTGATTCCTGGATTGGATATTGCCCAATTATCTTTTGGAGTTTTCTAAAATCCAAACACATAGCACATACACACATATAAATGGTGTGTGTGCGCGATATTTTGATGGACGCAGCCATCTTCTTGTTGTTGTTGTTGACAGAAAAAAAACAGGGGCCAGGAGAACTGGTCTACGGTTGGGAGCTTGTCACAAGTTGTGGAGGTCGGAGAGCAGCTAAGGTAGAGTAGGACCATTATGACAATGGTAGTTGGAAATGATCACTCTGGACAAGATCTGAGTGCTCAAAAGTAGGTAAAGAAACACGCATGATAAACTTTCAGTATCTGTATTGACAACAAGGAATGAAATAGAGACCAGGGGAGGGAGGAAGTGCCATAGAGGTAGACTTGGGGCCAAGGGGGGAGGGCAGGACAGAAACTGGGACATTGGTGGTGAGAAATATACATTAGTGAAGGGATGGGGTGCTGGAACATTTTATGACTGAAACCCAATTATGAACAAATTTGAAACTATGTATCTCATAGTGATTATAAATAAATAAACTTTATTTTTAATAAAGCGACAGAAGATAAATAACTATTGTAGATCACCCTCTCAATTCAGCGAATGTTGAAAAACTATAACAGGCATAAAAATATAAAAATTTAAATGCCTCTGGCAGCACTATTACATGATTGAGGGAGGTAGGGGGTGGAACAGAAGGTAAGGCATGATCTTAAAATTATTACTGGCAAGAATTATTGCAATTAAGCAAATATGTCATGCCTATGATGTCAAAAGTTTTTTAAATTGAAATTTGAAAGTAGCATAAGTTTTCTGAAAACTAGATATTTTGGATATGTCATTGGAAATGCATATACTTTATGTATACGGTAGAGCTAAGGTCAGATTCTATCAACTTGATTCTGTTTTATTGGTGGTTATCTTACAAAAATAAAACTATCCTCTACCATCTGATACCACTTCTTTTTCGAACAAAGTCTTGTTGCAATTCAAAAAATATTTTTCTGGTAAGAACTGTTGTTTTTCTTTCATGGGAAATTATCTACCTCTCACAAAGAATGAACATTAAAACAAATAGAGCCATATTTTGAACAGATATATAGTCAGATCTGTTATAATCATCATTCCTTCCAACCATCCAATTTAATACAAGACACTATTTTTGTCATTACCTTATGATTTTCTTGTACTTCATTATGGAAATGACTAACATGAAGTTCTCACTGATTGATTCCTTTCTCCATTAATCCAAATAACAGGTCTTCTTTGTAACATAAAATTTAGCATTGATTTTTCTGAATATTTATGAGTATAAGATTATTTTCTAGAATTTTTTGTCTCAGCTATTTTATTTCTTAGACAGTGGGTACTCAGGAAAAAGACTTCTTATTGAAATTTTCCATATGGGCCCTATTGGTTGCTTATGAAATATGCAGGACTAAGTTATGAGCCATTGTCACTTCAACATTGAATGGAAACTGGGAAATTAATAGGTATCTGTATTTGCTCTTGCATTTGTGCTTTCGTGTCTATAAAATACATCCATTGCCATATGGTTGACATTCTTTACCCATTTCACCAGATCCACAAATGCTCTTTACCATCTGGTAACCACAATCTGTTCTTCTGCATCTGAGATGTGTTTTTATTTTGTTCTGTTGTTCCTATGCTTAGTTTCTTCCCCATGGGAGTGAAATCATACAATGTTTGTCTTTCCTCTTCTGATTTCTTCCACTTGGCAGAACTTCCTCCAGTTCTGTCCATATTATACTGAGTAGCACAGTTTATATTTTTTATAACTGAATTATATTCATCCTATATATGTAACTATATTTCTACACATGTATACAATAATGTAGGATAACATTGGTTTGTTCTTTCTGCCTTGCCACAGGGAGCTTTGGTTTATTGGGTTACTCCCATCACAGCTCTTCCATTCCTCTGTGTTTATTTGTAACCTATTTCTTTGTGCTCTGTTGACTTCGTTTTTTTCTCATTCTGTTGACTTTTAAATATTGGTTTTCTCTTCTCCTTATGTCTTTTGCATAGTAAATTCAGAGCAATGTCCTTTTTGTATAGACACAGGAAGACAGTTAATGCTACGCTTTTGTAACTTGGGAGTTAATTGACTCCAGATAATATTACCTCCTGGACATCTGTTCTCTCAACTTAAGCCTCAGTTTCACTTACTTCCTAGCACCCGAAAAGCAGGGTCCTGACAAGGGACTGGATGGACCCAGGGCAAGCAGTGAGCTGCCCTGGCATCAAAATGAACCAGGTCAAAGCACCATAATACTTAACTATAAGTTAAGAGATTTAACTATAAGTTAAGAGCATGGTCATGGATAAACTCTGTCATGATCCAAAAAGTAATAACTAGATTTGGACCCTGCTAGGGTTAAAAAAGATTAATCTACCCTGAGCACTGTAGTCTGAGTCTGTGGTGAGATGTCCCCAGGTGAGCCACCCTACACGCTCAATATATCTCTTACTGTGTCCATATAAAATAACTAATATTAAGAAGTAAAACTAAGATGTTAATTGTAACGTTAAGTTTTGGGGATAAGGAGAGGAGAAATACCCCTAGGTGGTATTTCCTCCCTTGAACCTGATGGGTGATCAGAAAGGGCCTTTGATATGTTGATTGTGAAACCACAGGGTTTGGTGGCTCTGCCAAATGCGGGAGAGT